ATATTTATTAACTTTTATAATGAATATCATTATTAACTAGAACTTTTACTAATTTGATCATTATAAATTATTTTGTAATTTTTTTTGTTTTCAATTATTTATAGTATTTTGTTTAAATTTTATATTTTCTTTTAATATTAAGTTTTTACTACTTTATAAAATTATTACTAAAATTTATCGTAAATCTTATTACTTATTAAACCTTTTCTGTTATTAATTTCAGTAATTTAAATTATTTACTTTTTTGTACTTTTCCAAATTGTTAGTTTCTTTTATTATTAAATTTTTGACTACTATTTACTAATAAGTAAAATTTATATCAAACTTTATGATAATTATAATCACTAATTACAACTTTTACTAATATTAATTTCTTTTAATATTTTAAGTTTATTACTATTTTTTTATATTAAAAATAAATTTTCTACTGAAATTTATTATAAAAAATATTAATACTAAAAAAAAATTTACTATTAATTTTTTTTATTATATAATTTAAAATTTTTATTTATCAATTTTTGTATTTTTCTAAATTGTTAATCTTAAAAGTTTTCACAACTTTTAATTATAAAAAATTTATAGTTACTAAAGAAAATTGTTATAAATTTTATTACTAACTTATACTTTTACTGATTTTAAATTTTATAAGTTAATTTTAAAATTATTATTTTTTATTATTTTTATTTTTTTAAATTCTTATTTTCTTTCAAAAATAAGTTTTACTTCTTCTTATAATAAAAAGTAATTTTTTTACTTAACTATATAATAAATATTGATTTCCCACTAAAACTTTTTCTACTAATTTCAGATTTTATAATTTAATTTTTACTTCTGTAATTTTCTAATTTGTCACTTTCTTAAGTCTTTACTACTTTTTTTTTAATAATAAATAAATTTTATTAAAATTTTAGGATTTATTTTTATCATCCAAAACTTTTTCTGCCATTTTTTTCTATAAATCTTCTACTACAAAATTTATTTTTATAAAAAGTAATTCAATTATTTTTATTTTTAATTTATTAATTCTTTTGATTTTATAAAAAATCTTAAACTTAATTACTAGATTTAAAAAAATTTTACATTTAATGAAATTTTTTACTACAAAATTTATTTTTTTTATTAATAAATATAATTTATTTATTACTTCATTTTATTATAATTGATAAATTCTTTTTATAATGTAATAAAATCTCTATTACTTATTTACGAAAAATTACTTTACTAAAATTTTAGTTAAAATTCTACAAATATATAAATTTCTTCCCACAATTTTATATTTTTAAAAAAATTTAAATTGTATTTTTTATTTTTTTAATGATTAATTCTTCTGATTTTATAATAAAATCTTTATTACTTTTTATACCGAAATTACTTTCTTACTAGAATTTATGTTAATTTTGTACACTTAAAATAAATCTTGTACTACAAAATTTAATTTTCTTAAGATAAATACAATTTATTTTTTATTTCTGGATTTTTTTAATTTAATCGATTGATTCTTTTCTTTAATATTTAAGTTTTAACTACCTTTTCTACAAATTATTAATAACTTTTTTACTTTCTATAATAAATTGTACTACAAAAATTAAGTTTTTGTATCTTTTTAATCATAAAATTTAAATTTTGTGTTTTTTCCTTGTTTTCTAATTTATTACTTCTTTTTTTTGTTATTATAAACTCATTTCTTTCTATTCGTAATAAAAAAATATTTTTTAAATAACTTTCAACAAATTGAATTTTTTATTTAAAGACTTTTTCTATTAAATAAAACTTTTTCTAAATGATTAAATCCGGTTTTTGAAATTATATATTGTCTTCTAAATTATTACTTTTTTTTTGAATACTATAAAATCTTTACTACTTTTTAATTATAAAAAATAAATTTTTTTAATAATTTAAAATTTTCCTTTAAGTGATTTAATAAATTTTATGTTTTTGTTTTTTTTTAAATGGTTCTTGTTTAGTAATAAAAATTTTTTGCTACTTTATAATAAATAAAATTTTTAAATATTTTTTAAAGATTATTTTTTAATTTTAAAATTTTCCTATGAAATAAAATTTTCTTTAAATGGTTTAAGAAAGTTTTGGTGTTTTTGTATTGTTAACTTTTTTGTTACTATATTATCTTTTTATATATATGTATTTACTTACTTTTATTTAATCTTTTTTAATTTTTAAATAATTATACAAAATTAATTTAAATTTATAATTAATTTTTTTAATTAGTTTCTTTTAAGTGAATGGTAAATTTTAAAAAATTATATAAATTTTAATTTTTTTGTTATTTTTTACCTTTTAATCAATTAATTTTTTCTTTTAAAAAGATTTATAATTTTTAAGTTTTTTAGTTTTCTATTTTGCCTTTTTTAGGTAATTTTCTGAAAATTGTTATAGCATCTGCAAATCTCAGCTTTTAATATATAAAATTTTACTTTTTCAACTGGGTGCTTTACTATTATAGTAGATTATCACAGTTCTCATAAGTTATAGAATTTGCATTTTACAGAAATTTTTTTCATACTATAAATTAACTTGAATTATCTGACCTCTGATGGAAATTACAATATTTATTATTACTTCTCTATAATAAAGATTTGCCATAGCCGTCCGTTACTATAGATTGTGAAATCTTTTTCGCTATAAATATATATGAATTTTAAGGTTATAATTAATTAACTTGTTATCGTCTCCTTTATAAACGGTTGCCACCAGCTTTACACAAAGCATTGTCTAATTTTTAGAAGGTAAAAAAGATTTTTAAGATAGTCTAAATCTTGTAGAATTTGGATAATTTTTACTATTGTTATCTTTTTGTAAAAATGGTCTTCTGCTTTAAACCAAAAGTTCATATTCGCTTTAATTATTTCCGTAATCCCCGCAAAAAGGTAAACTTGGTATCTGATTTAGTGACGAAGAAAAAAAGATTTTCAAGAAGGTCGAAATTTCAGGAAATTGTAGAAAATTTTAATTGTTATTGTCTCCTGCAAATTGCCTTTTCCTTAACAATAAAAGTTCTGTTACTTGCATCTTCGCTTTATTTATTTCTGTAAAGCCTGCAAAAAAGTTAACTTAGTGTCTAAATTTGCGTGGAAGAAAACAATTATTAGGAAAGTCGCAATTCCTATTGTATACAGTAAATTTTTGTTATTGTCTCTTTCATGTTAATTCTAATTTTTTAAATTTTCGGTTATTTACATAGTCGTCTTAACTTATTTCCATAATGCTTACAAAAAACAGTTAGCTATGTGTCTAATTTTTCAGATAAAGAAAGATTCATAAGTCGATATTTTAATTAATTTAATTTTTTTAATAAATAATTGTCTTCAAAATTTATTAAGTTTTCTTATTTTTATATTTGACTCAATTTTTTCCTTTACTTCCTAAAAAAAGTTTTTTTGTCTATTTTGATATCCGAGAAGCACGTAAAATAGTATATATTTATATATATAGCGATGATTTTGGTTAAACAGTTTTGATTTGCATTATTCTATTAACGCAAGGAAAAGATTTTTCCAATGTCGAAATTTTTTGTAAAATTTTGTTAGTCTACTTTGTCTATTTTATAACAGTTACTATCTAAAATTCCTTAAGTTTGCTTATTTGCATTATTAAATTTATTTTTTAATGCCTGCAAAAAAGTTTATTTGAAGTTTAATTTTTTTACGTTGAGCCTTTACTAGTTATGAGTAGTTTTTTTTTTTAAGCAAAATAAAAATTCTTTAGGAAGTTCTGATTTTTTTAAATTTAAATTATAATAAAAATTTTTAACTTACACACGAACTTTTTTATGTCAAATTATATAGCTAGATGCTCTAAATAATTATTAAGTTTTGCTGAGGATCTCTTAAAAGTAATTAGAGCAGTTTCATGGTGGAGTCATAGCTAAGAAACTTTAAAGCAGAAGTTTTCTTGAAGTGACTGTATAAACAGATATAGGATCTACATATTGAGTCAATAAACTTTATCCAATTTTTTTCCTCAATCTTTTAAACTTCTAAGGTAGTCAAATTTTTTTTAATTTTTCATAAATTTTTAACTGCTTCGCCAACTTATTGAAAATTAGTGTAAAGATTTAAGGTAGTCAAGTTATTTGTCTTGGGAAAAAATTTCTTTATACTCTGACAATTCACTTTCTTTTAAACGTTGAAGTAGTCAAGTTTTTTACGTTTATAAATAATTTTATCAACCAGCTTCTCGATATATTTCATTTACTACTTTTGTGGCTAAATTAAATTATCGTTTAAGGTTTTAGAAGAGTTAAGTTTTTTTATTTTTAAAAAGTTATTAAATTTAGTTTCTGAAACAAAAATAGAGAGGTTAAATATACTTATCTGTTAAGCTAATTAAAGGGAACTTGAGAATCCCAAGTAAAACTTGAAAATTATATGTCTAATAGCTGATAATATTTAAATTAGTGCAAACTAAAAACTTTACCTCTATTAACCTTGTAACCTACAAAACACTGGGAAAAATGCCAATATAGGGTATAAATAAAAAGTTTGGTTTTACTCGCCTTATCAAACACAGTACAATCAAGAAAATTTAAACTATCAACAAAACAAAGTTATATAAGTTTAATAAGTTTTGACTAAATTAAAAATAAACTTAACTGCCAGGTAAATACTTTATATAAAAGTTATAAAGTTGTAAAGTATATCGTAAAATAATTTAAAAAACGTAAGTGCTAATGAAGCCATTGTTGTTAATATTATACGATCAAAAAATTAAAATGCTATAAAATTAAAATTAAGGTGTAAAAATAGCCTCAAATATGTATCAGTCTCCTCAAATGTAGAATACGAATGAATTTAAAATTTAAGCGATAGATATACTTTCTTTATAGCACGCAAATAATCTGTTCTAAAATTTTATTATAAGTAAAAATAAAGTGATTTCTTAAATTGGCAAACTTAGAGAATAGTAAAGTTTAAACAATAAATTTATATTTATTAACGTTTTTGTAGGCACAAGCAGGAAGAGGAAAAAAACGAAAAAGATAGAGCCCTCGACGGGACTCGAACCCGCAACCTCTAGATTCGAAGTCTAACTCCATAGCCATTAGGACACGAGGGCAGCCACTGACCGGAATCTCTTAAAAAATTTATTTAGTTAATTAAATTATGTAATGTTTAAAATAATAGTTCCGAATCCATCAAATTCTTTACTAATATTGCATAGTGCATCTTATTTTAAACAATTAATATAATGAAGTATTTTTAAGAAATTTACCACTACTAATTAGTCTTTTTTTTTTAAGTTTACTATATGTTTAAAGTATCTTTAAGCGGACATCTTTTCATATCCGGGTTATCAATAATTTTAAAAAACTGAGATTTCCTTAAGTTTTAAAGTTTTCTTACTTTTGCAGGATGTCTAAATATATTTGTTATAAGAGGCATTGTCCAGTGTAGATTTAAAAGTTTGGTCTTCTCCATTAATTTTAAGGCGGAAAAAGGATAAACAAATATAAGCGCTATGTTAAAAAAATTTACGAAAATTAATCCTATTTAAAAGATCTATATAATCGAGTTTAAAAAATTGGAAAAGTGCATTCAAAATAGACGAAAGTGGTCGTTACTCAAAAAGTGCTAAAAAATAGTGCAGCCTTGTTAAAAGTTTTAGATTTCATATCACTTAAAAAAAGGGATGCTTATTTTTATGGGGCAGCCTACTTTCTCATTAGGTTTGTCTTTTGCTATTTTTTTATAGTTTTAAAGGGCTACTGTTGTATGCTAACTTAAATTGTATTCATAGTTAAAAGCACGATGTTTCTTGTGTATATATTACGCTTTTATCTCTACTGCTGCGCTTGCATAGAAGTACGCTTAACACTGCTCAAGAAAGGCGACCAGCGAAAGATTACTCTGCAGAGGTTTGCTGTTGAGAGTAACAACTCTTCACAGTGCGCAGACTGTTAGTGGTAAAAGACCTTGCAACGATTTGCATTTATAGAATTGAATAGGATCTATTTTATAGAAATAATCTATAGTGCTTCCCCATAACTAATCTACAGATTTTTTTGAACTTTCTTAATTTTTTTAATTTGATAATTTTTTTTTTATTCTAAGTATGACCTATAATTAGGTTTTATGGTAGGCAATCCACATATCTAAAAACCATACTAAATTTTAAATTTGGTAATTAGTAATAATACCCCTTACTATAAATCTTAAAAATAATTTTTCTTATTAAGGCTAGCTCTTTAAGCTAATTATCGGATTAATGACAAATAAAAACTATTAATTCGTAATATATTAACAATAAAATCTTTATGAAAAGACTGTAACTTAAAGCCCATAACAATGGCTAAGTGGGAAAGATAAAAGGACCAATCCAAAACAAATTTATTATTGACATCAAATTGAGTTTCATTAAACTTGTTTGTGTAGTGTATAAAAGTAATATAGTCCATATTATATAGTTTCTTGCAATTAAATGCTGTAGATAAAAAAAAAATCTATAGAATTGGTACTATTAAACATGAAATGCTAATAATCCTTGAACTTGAGTTTTTTTTTCCTACAAGATATTGTACATATTGTTATGAAATGAATTGAAATCCATTTTATGCCTAAACCTATTTATAAAATATTGCGTTATACTATGACTAAATTATAAAACATTTGCTTAAATTTTAAGTAGGGTAGCCTTAGTGTAAGTTACTATGCAATATCAAATTTAGCGCATCAGCCTATGATTTTACTGGGAAATATTTGTCAAAACAAGTTTTTTGCGTTTTCTTAACGAGAGTAGTATATTATAAAAATAATTTATACTTTGTAAATAAATCTTAAATTAACAAGTGTGCATGTTTATATATATTCAAAAAAAATAAAATTAATAATTGACGTTCAGAAGATCTAATTAAAGCAAAAATTATTGCATAACCCTAACTAAAAGTTGAAAGTTTATTTACGTATCACATCATGGGACCCTTTCAAAAATCCCTTTTTTGCTTAACTTAATAACATATAAATGTCTAAACATTGGCTAAAAAAATACTAATTTTGAAAAGAAATTGCGTGGTAGGTAGCCTAACCGACTGTGTAAGATATTTTTAATTTTTCCTATTTTTTCGTCTACTATTATATAATAGTAACGATGACAAAATTTATTATTACAAGTAAAATATGATGAGAATGAGAGGAGGAGCGATCAGTTTATTGTCCCTTAGAGTAAGGGTAATTTTACCTTCAAGGAAATAATGCAAAATGTAGGACATGAATGAAACATGAAATATTAACAGAGGTTTTCAATTAATGAAAACTAAGCGACCCAGTTGATTCAGCATCTCGCCGTATTTGATGGAGAAGAGTCCTCTAACTTTAAAGCTAGCTTCTTTATAACCTCGGTTGCGGTTAGACCTTTTAAATACCTAATGATCGCACGAATTTCATATTTCTCCCTTTACTGAAATTGCTTGGGGCGTTTTGTTTTGACGGTCTTCTGTCAAGCCATTAAACGACATATTGACTTGGCAATGAAAAACTGAAAAGCTCCTGTTTTGAATATGAATTAGCGTTTTATTATTATAATCCGTTGTTTGAACCCTCAGGCCCACTTGACTAGTTTGGGTAGAACTCTACTTTACTGCTTAGCAACTTTTATACAGGCTGAGACAATTGTCTTTTTATTATTTTTTCTCTTTTTTTTATCATAACAATATTAACCACTGAGTTTGAAAGACCAAGAATTTTGGCCGTTAAATCTAAACTGTCTCAAGTAAGTCAAGTCTTTTTATTTATGTAAAGTTTAATGAAAAGCTCAAGTTTTTAAACTTAACTTAATTCTCTAATAATTTTTGTTTACGTAATGTCCATAATTTTTAAGAAGTTAATAAGCTGCAAGGAACTGATATCTACCAAAAGTTAAATGATGTTTCACTTTTGTGTGTCGTTCGTCTAAAACTTCAGTTAGCCGAATTATGCAACCCAGTTGCCTTAGTATAAACAGTATCCTTTAATTTTAATTTTTAAACCCCTCTATAACTAAATCTTGGATATTTATAATGCCTGTTAACCATTAACTTAATTTTTCTGCCATAGTATGGGTAGGCAGCCGGTGTTCTGCACAAATACATTTACTCTTTATTCCTCCATGTTCTAAGCAACCGCTTTTTATAATTGTTATTTTTTTTTATGATATTTGTTTACGGTGACAAATTTATATTTTATGAAAAGACAGATGACCCAAGTAGAAACAGAGATAATATATAAAAGATAAGAGATGCTTTTTTTATGCTTTCTCTGGTGCTCCTCAAGTCAACAAACGCACTTCTAATACTTTGAGCTTTCTAGTTGCAAAGCTTCTCTCAGTAGAAGTCGCATTTCATATTCGAAAATCGTGCAGGGAGAGCACGTTACATAGTTACCTCCATACTAACCAAGTTTTTACTGTGCCTTCCTTCGGCAATTTTAAGTTTAAAAATATGGTGGTTCAACTAAATTTCTTTTCTATCCCAGGGATTTGCAAGCGACATTTTTGGTAGATATGTTGAGTATATATAGAAACTAGCTATACTGTAATGATCAAAAATTTATAAATAGGAGCAACCAGCTCACAATTTACCAAAAGCTTCTAGAAGGGGGACACACAAAAACCCTTGCTCCTCTGTTAGGACTTAATTCCTTAACAAATGATCTCCGTTCCCTTAATAAGAGAGTCCACTTCTTACTGAGATGGGGCCAACGCTCTCCATGGGCCACGGGTTTAATTACCGAAGACGGACAAGTTCAAGGGATTTATAGAATTAATAGAGTCCTGAAAAGAGACAGACTTAGGAACCTCTGAGCCCGCTTGGAAGCAGTGTCTAAGGGGTTTCTTGAATAAAAAGAGGGTTTAGAAAAAAAGAAGGGTCTACCTTGGCCCAATGGGCTATTCTAGATTAGTGACCCAAAGAGGATCCCGATAAACTTACCCGTTATAAGGTCAAAAGGGAGTGTCTAGCCAGTGTACCTACTTACAACGAGATAATTGCGCTAAGCTCTCTGCTGTTAGCCTCGGCATATTGAGAGTTCAAATGCTCTACTGACTAAGCTATTGATACCTTCAATAAACAATTTTTGCCCTGGCGTGGTGAAAAATCTGACACCCTTTAGTTCATGCTATAAACTCTACCACAAACACAAGACGTAAAATAATTAACACCTTACAAATAAATCCGCAATAATAACAAATAAGCTAAGTAAAGATTTAAGAGAGGACAACTTTGGCCACTAAAGCTTGATTATCTTTTTCGAGAACGCATGAGGAAACTGTATGTTGTATGATCTTATGCACTATTTTTCTTTATGTAATAGAGCTAATCTTTTGCGATGTGCTAAACTATTAAATACTTTTTATCGAGCTGTCTCACTAATTTTACGGGGTCATCTTTAGAAGGATAGTATACACTGATTTCTCAAATTACCTTTTTTTTTAATTCGAGTTGAAAGAATTGTTTTATCATAAGATTAGATATTACTTGGTCTTCACTTTAAATTTAATAGTAATAACTGCAAATTGAACTTACCATTACAAAGGTTGTTTTTTATTTATATATAAATAATATATTTCAGTACCAGTACTACTATTTTGTTGCTACTATTACTGTTAACAGCATTGTTAACAAGATACATCTACGATATTGTTGTTCCACATTACCGTTGGTGCTATTATTATAACAAGTATTATTAATTTTTTTACTACTTTTTTGAAAGAAAAAGATAGTTATTTTATTAATCCCTTATACTACCCAAACTGCCTATTTTTTGGAACTGACTTAACACGGTCGGTTTTTTTAACGCTCTTTAAATTTCTTAAACAGATTCTTTTTTCTCGAGCGAATGATAGCCTTTTAAATAGTCTGGGAGACCGCCCCAAGAGTTGAGCATAATACCTGCTTGCAATTAAAACGCATTGATTTTGTACAAAGTTACAAATATAAGAGATAGTGCCTGTATTAAACTCAAAGTTATAATATTGTCTGCCCTCCCGTCTTAAAATATTTTAGTGCACAATGTAAGAGATATAACGTAAACTTTTCAATCTAGCAACTACGTTATACTTAATTTTCTCAACAACTAGCATTAAATAAGTTTTATAAATATTCTCAATTGACTAATTACTTTTATCATTAAAAAATAAGGTTAAGTTAACTTTCAATACCTATAAAATTTAAGATTAAAATCATAAGATTGTAAAACTACCTTAATTTATCTGTTGGTGAAACCAAATAAATTTATTGAATACTTAGATTTATAATTAGTTAAAGTTGTTTAAATGACATAGTGACGTTTACAGGCATGCTATCCTTAAAATAATGTTACAAAGGGAACGGTTGTTAACAATCTAAAATATTATGGTGTGCTTGACAATAAAATGCCCTGTTAAACAATGAATATATTAAGGATTTAGTTATTTACAAATGCCTGTCATAACTAGCTTTTCTAAAATACGCTATATAGGAATTTAGTTTTTTTAAGCATATAAAATATTCGCATTAAATAATTTTTCCCTGTAAGTTATTTCCACCTTATAAAAATTTTTAGGGCCTGGAAAAACGGAATGGTCCTTTACTGAGTATAAGTTATTAATTTTAAAAATAGAAAATACATTATATATAAAAAACTAGGGTTTGCATTAACGTTAGCCACTTTAGTAACTAACAAAGATATTTTACATAACGGATCAACAACTTAATATTAACTAAAACTCGGATATAAGTCACCAAGCTACAGTTTTAGGGGTATGTCTGACGCCTTCTTCGGAGTTTGTTTGTGAAAAGTGTCGAATTAGGACGATGCAAACTTAGGTTCTGTAAAGTAATGCTAAATAAATTTATAAGTAACATTAACTTAGATAACGGAATAAACTCGGGCTGGGCTCATCTAACTTAAGAAATCAACTCGACGTGATTGATGAAATTTGCAACGAACTTTTGGCCATCATTCAATATGATCTCAAATCCGTGAGATAATTTTATCTCAACTACCTCAATTTATCGTGTGCGGCCACCAATCTTCAGGTTATATATAGTATCTATGGTAATAAAACTAATAAATAACATTTAAATATAAAAAAAAACCAGGAAAAAGCTTTGTTATTAGGCGAATATCTGGTAGTCCAATTACCGCATTCAGCTAATCTTTGTACCAGGGGTGCCACCACGATTCTTATGGAAAGAACAGATGCACTCCGAGTAGGCGTTCCCTTCTAAACTTTAAAGGCAATGTGGTTACTTCTGATGGTAGTATTGAAAAGGTCTAATACCATATTACATAATCTTTGAGTACTTACTTTAAATCCGTGGCTTTTTATTAAAATTATTAATTTGTAAGATGGAAAGGGAAAAGAGTTGGTGGAGCTTATCGAGCGCAGGTCATAGCGTTAAACCTGAAAAACTTTTTAGCGATGATCATACAATAGTGGTTGAGGCTAAAGGTCAACGCTACTTTGGTAGATCTTCCCGGAGTTACCAACATTAGCGACGAAGACGACCTCACTGTTAATAAAAATAATGGGGAGGTACTTGAGCAAATATTACAATGTTTAATGCCCTAAAGTTTTCAATTTGACCTCGTTATATAAGATACGCAAAGATGCCTGAAACTCTAATGCTCCATGTTATCCGCGGGATCAAGGTTACGATACCTGCATAATTAATTCATCAAGTCTCAAGTTTCTAGAAGATCAAGGTTTGGACTAATTGTGATAAACTTGAAAATTTTGATCGCGATAACAATTACGAGATGAACGAGTCTACAAAAACAAAAGTAATATTAACATTTGACACTGTTTTCCGCTACGGAGAAAGTGTATTTGTCATAATTGGCAACATTATAGAAAATTTAACTGATTCTAATAATGAAAATTACGAACTGGAGAAGCTAAAGTTTTTTTAAAGGATGTAGACGGAAGAATGCAAGCTGGCGCAAAGCAGCTTTTCTAGTTGAATTAAGAAAAAGAAGGAGTCCTCACCTCCAAGCTCAACTGCCTAAAGCGCCATTTTTTAACTAATATCAATTAAAAAACGGTTAACCGATTAAGTGTAATTGAGGACAGCCCCCAAATGTTCTACACTTCAAACTTAAAGGTGTATTTAACGAAAATCTACCAGAACAAGATAAGACCTCATATTAATAAGCTTAGGTTAGTTGCTATGTTTACTAACCATTCGCTTAGTAAATTATAAATTCTTATTATATTGCGTAATATAAAAAACTATTCTTAAAAAATTATATGCTAGCAAAACTCTTTGTCTTCTGTCTTTTTAGGCCTATACAGCAGGAACTGTACTTTAAAATGGAGGGCTTTAGAGTTCAACCCCTGGACAAGCGTTCTTCGACTGAGTTGCAATTCGTCGATCGTTGGTTTCAATTTTCTAAAAATGTCAACTCCATCTAAGTTAAATCTTTCCAGACTTATAGTTACGTAATTGTGGTTAGTACCTCAGTTGAAAGTAATGAGTTGTAGGTAACTTATAAGACCTCTCCAGCAAGTAAAACATGTAAGTTAATTAATTTGTTGCTGATTGAACGTAAAAAGTTATATTGCCTATTATCTTTTTATTTCGTTTAACTATCTGCATTGTTAAGGTTTGAGAATCCTGAACTTTAAATAACCCAGCTAATGTAATGGAAAATATCTCGAGCTCGTTTATTGATATTATAATTACGTTGTCTATTACGCTCCTCTGTTTAATTAACCCTTTAAAAATTGTGCTTGTCAAGTAAAAATAATATTTATATGTAACCTTCTGGAAGCTGTAGTCACTGTGTACGGTTTTCCAGCATAAGAACAGTCGACATATAAGGACGGCTAGCCGGGCAGAATAACTTTCTAATAATTGAGTTTACCTACGAGCCTTTTGACGGTGCACGCTCTCGACGTCTTCATGACGCGCTTTGAGCGCTTGCTATTTTTAGGTTTGAGGTTAGAGTTTTAACGCTAGCAGATAGTATATATATGTAATTCCCCTTGTTTGAGAGCTCGAGATGTTAAGGTTTGTTGAACTTGTTCGAGTAAAAATATAGTAATTCGTGTCAAGAAATAAAAGTTTTTTTCTTTTTTTTAATATTAAGTTTTTATATCACTAAGCTAAAACACCCTTAACCTTCATAACCATGTTATAGTGCACTTATTTGTTAAAATACGCTTAGAGAAAGCTCTTTGGAGCAGTTAAACAAGTTATTTTTTGACCGCAATAGCCTCAAGTGGCGTATCTACTGTTTATTTACTATTTACTATTTAAAATCAGTAACTATAGTAGTCACTGTTTAATTCTGTGGGCAAGTAAAGTCTTTAATAGGAATATCGCGTATCTCAAGTTTCGCCGCGCTTAAATCATCTTTCATTCAGTACAATAAGATTTATTAGTTTCAGAAACAAGCACTCGAAATAATATTGACTACCTTTATGGCTTTTAATTATCAACAAGCCCCATATATTGTTGGCATTATATGCTATATTCCTTTTTGTGTTTTTTTGTTATATATATGTGAACTACAATACTTGTTATATGAGGTGTGACTCTCATCTAGTGTATATTATAACCTAACTTGCGTCTCCAGCTTTAGTTTCTTTAATCATGTTGAACTTTTGTTGCGACTAAGGCATATCCAAAATTTGCGATTCTAGCATTTAAATTTAAGGCTTACTACCTATAAGAATTTCACTCTGTTTCAATTATTATATTAAAGCGCCTTCCACTAAGTTCTTTTAAAGTACAAATTTTTCTATTAATCTATTGTTTTTAGTTTTAAGCTTCTATTTCTATTGTATGCTTCTAAACATAAGGCTATTCTCGCCTGTGCACAGCTTTGACTAGGTTATGCCTTAACTCCACTTTTCTTCTAAGCTCCTAGCGGTGTTTCAGCTCTTTTCTAAGTTCCTAATAGTTTTGTTTATTTGTTTTTTCCATTATATACCAATTTATAGCTTGATGATTTTTATCTTCCCTTAGGGTTATATCAGGTATGGTCATATGTATAGGAGGGTTAAAAAGAAGTTAATCTTTTAATCTCTTGATCAAGTCTACAGCAGTTAGAACGCTACTTACTTCGTGTAGAGTTAATAGTGCCTTGTACCTTGTTGAGAACTGCCGTAGTGCTCTTGTATTTAGTAAATATAACTTAAAGGAAAGCGCAGTATAGTCATAAAAAGTTAACCAAAAATGTATAAATTTTGAAAATTAAATTTAAGAAAGACAAATCATGTAAATTTGCAAAAAATATATTTTAACCAATTAGGTAGGTTTTTAAAAAATAGAGAAAAATATACTAGTGTTAAACTATTTTCGTATTTAAGCGGGTTACCTAAAAAACTTTTTATTGACAAATCCTAGTTATGACGACGATCTACATAACAAGCTTAATGTTAATAGTGTAATTGACCGAAATGAAGTATTATAGAGACATATCAATTTAAAACGCTGTAGCTTCCTAAAAATTACGAGCTTTATGAAAGGGGCTATGATTGTTAATAAGGTTTAAAACAATAATTCACGTTATAATTAATACTCTCTATAGTAACTGCTAGTTCGAGTATCTAAAGTTTACAGAATAATTTATTTAATATATAGCAAATTATCACTATTTCATAGATTTTAAAAATACTAAACTAGCAGCCATGTATATATTTGCTCCTCGCCTAGAAAACTTGGCCGAGAAGGTCCTGTAGGTCAAAAGTAAAAGTAAAAGAAATTATATACAAAATTCGCTTTATAAGCATCCAAATATGCACGTAACTTTTGGCAAGAAGAGCAATTTTAATGTTTATATATTACTGGCATACTACAGTCGATATGTATAGCCTATAACCTGAAAGAGGGACAAAGGAGGAAACATCTAGAGAGCCGTAATTTTCACATTTCGTAAGTAAATCGAGCGAGGAAATATTTAACCAGCCACAATAAACGATAGCGACAAAGTAATAGTAATAACTAATATAAAACAAAAGAAAGATAAATGTTAGTATATTTCGCGTGAGGGCAATTCTATCAAGTCTTCAACTAAGTTCTACAGCGAACAACTGTTCATATTAACAAGAGCATATATCATTGCTTTCTGAGACTGTAAAGAGCTTTAGTCTTAAATAATGGTCGCCTTTAACAAACAGCCAGATATAAGTAACGAACTTCTCACTGGGGTTGTTTTTAAAATTATTATTATTTACTCTATCCATCTACTTTCTATAAAACATCTAAATTAACAAAATTTTTATAAGACCACCATAATGGCTGTAGAATTTGAAGGCGGTGTTGTAATCGGTGCTGATTCTCGGACTACGACAGGGTTGCTAAGTTTTATAATAATCTTTTTTATGTGCTATTATATTTTCTTATATAATATTCACAGCTCTTATATTGCCAACCGAGTCACTGACAAACTCACTCCTATAACTGAACATATTTACTGTTGTCGCTCGGGCTCAGCTGCTGATACTCAAGCCGTTGCTGATCTTGTTAAATACTATTTGGAGTACCACTCGTAAACAAAACTTTGTTTGTAACTGATATTATAATCTGTTAAAAAGACTGTCATTTTAGCTAAAACTTGTTTTTAGTTTCCTATAATTTATTTGATCTACGAAAATAAATAAAATATGACTATAATTTTTTAAATTTCTTAATTTTTATTATTATAGAAAATAGTCTGTTTTTTTTTAAGTTCAAATAGTTTATTGTATTACACTCTGCAAACAGTTACACTTATTAATAAAATAAAATTATTGTTATATACAATACTAACTAAAACTATTTATTAGTAGTTTATTTTTAATTTTAAACAATAAAGGATTGAACTTGAAGAAGAAGTGCTCGTTAAGACCGCTGCAAGGATATTTCAAAGATTATGCTACTTTAATCGAGACAATCTCACCGCTGGAATTATTTGCGCTGGTAAACAATTTTCATAAATTTACTTAATAAAATTTTCTGAAGTATAAAAATTTTTATTACTGGAATATTTTAAATTAAGTTAATTTAAAATTATTGTTAAATTCCAAAAAGTAAAAAGTTAAATATTTTTTACTCGTCTAGTGAGTAGCACTTGAGTCGCCCGCTTAATTTTTAGATAATTATACACGTTAAAAAGTTTTTGTTATAGCAGAAGTAATATTTAAAAAACAACTCTAAATTTTGGAAAAAAAAAGTTTAATTTTAGTAAGTAAAGAGCATTTTTATATATAAAGTTTTTTTGTAATACTTTGTATAAAGCATTATATATAATTTATTTACTGTATGCAAAGCGATATTATTACTATTATTATAATAATTATTATCATAGTTATTTTTTTATTAATTTTAATATTTTACTATTATTCTGCGAGGCTTTGATAAAGAAAACGGCGGGCAAGTTTACTCCATCCCGTTGGGAGGCATGTGCATACGACAGCCTTTCGCTATTGGAGGTACAAATATTTTTTTGACACTACATCACCACTTGCATCAAACAAAGTTTTCTACCAATAACTGGTCGGCACTGTACTATAAATCTAACCATTGACTGCCTGAGTTTAAACTATTCACTAACTGATACCCTTACCAGGCGCATGTTTAACTTAATCAGTTAAATATTATTTGTCTCAGTTAACCACCACTTTGTACTTTAATATAATTAACTTTCATTTAAAAAATGTATATACAATTTTACATATAAAAAGAGAAATAAATATTGACTTTGTAAGCCATTTTATTGCTACAGATAAAAATGCGCATAAACTAAATAAATAATGCGCTCACGTTACAGCAACTTATTACCGCTACTAATATATTGGGTATTTGACATCCTAATGCTGATTACTAAACTTTGATTGGTTTATAAAAAGACTTTATTGCCATTCTCTTTGGTTATTATCGTTTACTGGCACCATTAAACTTTATAACGCGCAATTAAAAAAGCGATTATTATATTATATTGCGTCGAATTATTAATAATAATGCTTGCTTTTCAGTAATTTGATACAATATTCATAAATTTTTTTATTGACAAGGGTTTTAATAATTTGACATGCTAAATTAAATTAGCACACATCATAACAACCTGCCGCTATTTAACTATTTTGCTAGCTCTTATGCCTCTTTTAGCGTTGTTCTATTTTACCTTTGGCTATTTGTTATCAATGAATTTCATTAATTGGCTCTTTGTTAATGATAGCAACCAATGAGATTGCAAGCCAACTTGTTAATAATGCAAAAGACCAAAAATATTTTCTAATGGGACAGTTCATCTCATAACTTCTGCGCGTTTCACAAAATTAATTTATTAAAAAGTTTAATTTTTTTTATCAAAATAATTTTAAATGTTGTTCCGTTTGGCACGTACTTTCAATTCCTTGCTTGATGCATCAAATAAATATTATTATTATTTATTATACTTATACACAGCTTTATGACATTTTATAGTTTTGTAAACTTTACTTTTTACATTACTTTTTTACTAAACAACAAAATCTTTACTATTATATATAATATAAAAACTTAAACAACTTTTTTATATATTTTTAATAATATTTGTAATTACATGACTTTTTATATTTATCATCATTTCTATTATTTTTTTATATAAATAATATTTTAAGGTTCTGGAAGTTCGTATATATACGGCTACTGTGACTCCAACTACCGCCAAGGCATGTCCAAAGAAGAATGCTTGAACTTTTGTAAAAATGGTTAATATATTATTATTATTATTAGTATTATTATTATTTTGTTTTAAGTACTGCTAAAATATACGCTATAAAAACTTTTTATAAAGTTTAATAAAGTTTTACATTTATTACTATAATTTAAATTTTGTAGTAAATTTTTTTATAAATTATATTTTTATTCAGAAAAGTTTCTTCAAAATATTTTATTGTTCATGTATAATTTTACCGTTATTTTACTTATAAAATAATAAGTACTTAATATCATAAAATTTATTAATATTACATAATTTAAGAAATTTCATATTTACAATAATTTTTTTTTGAAATACTTTAATCACTCGAATATAATTTTTAACATTTTTCGGTTTACTGATATATTTACGTCATAACGGGAAACTGGCCAATAAAAATAATCAATATGTTATATAAATCAAAACCTCAACCAATAATTTTTATTTAAAACTACAAATGAAACTGACGAGTTATTTTGGGCCAATGATTTTAAGTTTTTATGCGATTATAAACCAATAAACATGACTGCATATTTAAATAAATTCATTTGTATATGTGTAAGCATTTTGTTTTATTTTCTTTTTTTTTTGTTTTTATTAACAACTTTTTAAACTTTTAATATAATGTTTCTATTTCCTAATTTTTTATAACTTCTACCATATAAATAATTATTTAGAATTTTTTTTCCTATAGAAAACTTATATATTTTAATGTATATATACCTTCTTTATAAAATATTAAGTTTTTCTTACTTTACTGTTATTTTGTTATATATGTATATTTATTACTGTTTATCTTTTTGTTTTTATATATTTTACTATAAAGTACAATAGTTAGATAAACCATTCTAAATAAAATTTTTTTAACTTAAATATTTTTTAACCAAATTTTATAATAAGTTATAAAAGTAACAAAACTGTATCTTATTAAATATAGTATAAAGTAAATTTTTTAATATTACTAACAAGAAATATACCATATTTATATATATTATAAATGGGAGTTAACAAAATACTTAGTAATAAAATACTCACTTATAAAAAGTTAAAAATATTAAAAAAATTGACAATTATTAAATAATAACAATAATAATAAAAATAAAAGAACACGTAATCAATAAATATAGTAATATTAGTTAACATGAATAAACTAATAATAAGAAGCATTTTAATACGAGAAAAACTTATTTTTATATAAACTTATTAGAACTGAGCTACAAAATATATATATATATATAATATTATGTAAAAGTTTATATATATTGTCATCGTTAATTTTTTCATTGTGTATAAAAATATTGCAAAACATGTAGCGTTGATTATAATATTTTACGAAACTGAAAAAAATTCTACAAGAAATGAAAGTTAAAAAAAATATTACTTATAAAATATGAACATCAAAAAACTTAATGAAATAATATTGAGAATCAACATTTATAATGAAAAAAAATTTTTTTAAAACAAACATTAAAACATGTATAAGAAGAGAAACAAAAAGTTGTTAAAATGTGAAAATCTTATCCAACAAAAACAGTTATAATATTTATCAAAAAATTGTGAACTTTCGAAGCAAAAAGAACTATAAGAATAATTTTTTATAATCTCCAATTGTAAACGAAAGCTGCTTACAAAGCCTTGATTGGTTCAATTGATTTGTTTGTTTTTCATGAAAGATTCACTAAAATGACTGGTGCTGCGTTTAATAAAATTTTAATTGATATAAAATGAAAATTTAATTGGCGTTTTTAGCGTGCGCAAGGTTTTGATTGGTTGTTGAATTTTTTTAAAGCCTTTTTCTATGCCATTGGCTTGTTTAATCATATAAGCAATAAAAAATAGGCACACGCAAATTATAAATGATCAAAAAATATTTATTTTTTTAATCTTATAAAGTTAACGAATATATTTTTTTTAAAATAAATAAACAAAAGCTGTTGCTCTTGCGATGAATCGAGACGGTTCTTCTGGAGGTGTAATACGATTGGCCGTCATCGACCAGTCGGGCATTCGCCGTGAAGTCGTATCCGGAAAGGAGATCCCCGTTTTTAATGGAATCTAATAAAAATTTACTGGTAAAATAAGAAAGTATATATTTTGTGATTTTGAAGTGTAGATTGCTTGAAATTTTATATATTTATTAAAAAATTACTTAAAATTGCTTTCTGCGCGTTATAGTTTCTTCCGCAAAAAATAGAGTGAAGTTTATAAATATACTCAACCTTAGGTTTATAAAGCGCTCTTGTATTTAAATGAAGAGTTTTATTTTATTTAATATATGATTTGTAGGTAAAAAGGTAGAATATACAAATTTATATTTAAATTATTCTTACTATGGAAGTAAAAGATTAATCATGCAATATATAGTAAAAAGTGATATAACTTAGCCCCTGATGTCTAAGTCATCGTCGATAACTCAGAGCAATTCTTACAAATATTATGCAACTAACATCCCTCTAAGAACGCTGGCATACTCGATAATTTTATATTACGGAAAACGGTATAGCCCTAATCCTTATAAAACATATTCAATTCTGCTTAAAATACTGGATTTTATAGCTAAACGGCGGCTAAAATAAACATTTAACATCCAACTTTCGGCTTAATAGTTATTATTATACTTACAAATTCTTAATTTAAAATTATGTGGTAAGAAATACGATGAAAATTAACCACTTTGTACTGGGAACAGATCTGTACAGTTTGGAGGTGTATAAGATTTATTTTTATATAGAAAACTTCCAATAGACTGAACTAAAAATTAAGAGCTCTTATGATAAAAACACTACCTTTTTGTACTGGGATTAGACTTTTAACAAACACTTTGAAATTGTACAATTTTTATTATAAAAAAATTATAAGCCCACCAATCAGTTAATACATAGCATCTTAACCTTGAAAATTATAGGAAAAAAAAAGGCTAATTTCCCTCTTAAAGCTTTAAAGAAACTATAATTCCACAATAAATATATAATTTAAAACATCCGTTCATTATCATGGTGTATATTAAAGCTACAGATTAACAGAACTTTTTAAAAAACCTTAAAAAAGGTAAAAATCGATTAAAAAGATTATTAAAACGTCTAATGCTTACTAATTTAACAAAGTCTCGACTACTGAACTAGATCTCAGATCCTATTTAATATCGTCCTTACCATAAAATATAAAGAAACTATCAAAGGAAAACAAATTTCTAAATATGCACTGAGCTATTATCCAGATTATAACTATATACTATAATATTCTCTAAATAAAACAATTCTGAGTAAAAAAAAAATTAGCCAACACGCCTCTTATTTAATGCAAAAGAATGCTACTATGCCGAAGAAAAAACTTTTAAGTTGACCCCAATCCTTAGCCCTCTATAGTATTTATTCTAGCGAGCATGAAGATAGTAATACACACGAAGTCACTAATATAACCTCTATTTTTCGTTTTTATGAATAAAAAGAAAAAAGATGGGGTGATATCCCAAAAAAAGGGAGACTAGATGTAATACAGTAAAACACGCGTAGTAAGAACTATAACAAAGCGCAAATGTTACAAGCGCATGCTTACCACGTGTTGTAAGCAAAGTATTGTTCACGTGGTAATATTGAAGTTGGTCACGTGTGGTGGATGATATCCATGTGTAAAGTTATGTGGTATATATAATTAAAAAACTTTCTATGATGGCGAAAAAATAATATAAACTTTATTATAATAACTTTCAAAGTTACTTTTAAATTTTTAACTCCACCAAGACGTTAATCCAAGTCCTTCCTCATCGATAGTTGCCTATAAGAATTTTATTTCATATAATAGTTCTTTACATATTATAATGATAAATAAATAAAAATTTTAAAAGGATGATAAAAAGTAAATAAAATACTTAAATATTTTTATAATAAGAAAAAAAAAACATAAACGAAATTGTAGCACTCAGAAAAAGTTTGAGTTTTTATATAATTAATAATAATAAATATTATAAGCTCTGTGGATTAATAATAATGAAAGAAAAAAAGTTCAAAATATTAAACGAAATGAATATAAAAAAAGTTTTTTATAAAGAAATAATATATGTATAAAGCTTTATTAATATATTAACAGAAATATCCATAATAATAATTAGTAAAGTTAAGTTTTTTAAATATATTTGATAATTATAAAATTATATATATAAAATTATGAGTAGTCAAAGTTTTATACAAATAATAATAAATATATAACAATTTTTTATATAAAGCAAAATCACATTAATAAAATAATAATAATAAATTATAAATATTTATTAAATATATATAAAAATTATCAACAGGTAAAAAATTATTAAAAGCATAAAAAAGTATATTTTATATATATAATAAAGTAAAATTTTCTCTTCTGTTCACAGCTGTCAGTCCTCGGAAACTTGTATTTAATAGAGAGCGAAGTAATATAATATAGATATAACGTATTTTATAGACATTAAAGTGATATAATATAAGAAAGTCGAAGTACTAGAAAGTACTGTAAGTTTATCTAATTATTATAGACTCTCTAAGCGCACCAAACCAAATTGCACAACAATCATCAAAAAGAAATAAAAACTGCAGCGGATGGACGAATGAAACTTATATAACCACATGTGCACTGCCCTTGAACACTACCCTCATACTATAAACACTAGAGAAGAAGAATAATAAATTTTTACATAAGATTAATAGTGTAATAAAATTTATAATAAATTCGTATAAAAAAGGAAAATATAAAAAAAATATTTAAAAATATTATAAAAAATTAATTAACATTTAAATAATAGCAAATTTTGCAGTAATAAAAATATATTATTTTCTATAAAATAATATTATATGAAAAAAATTATGTAGTAAAACAAGTATAACAATTAAAAGAGAATATATAAAATAATGATAAAAATAATTGTAGTGTTACATATATATAAACAAATTAAATAAAATAAGAAAAATTTTAATATAAAATTCGTAGTAATAACAGAAGTTTAATGTTTCCTATAAATAATAATTATAAAAATATTATTTTTACATAACATTTATACCATTATTTTTATATAAATTTTTTAGTAATAAAAAAAATTTTAGTTTCATTATTTAAAATATTTATTTTTTACTATTTAATAATAATCAATAGTTATTAAAACACTCTTTTATTAACTCTTCTATGTTATTATTATTGCATGTTCTTTTTTTATATATATACTAACTTTTTTATTATATATTTCAATATATAACCAGAACTAATAATAAATAATAACAGTAGAAAAATACCAGCAAGACATACGGGGAACCAACGCTGGACGAGGAAAACTTCGAGAGCGGCGGAACGTCGTTGAACATTTCTTTAATTATTCTAAATCTGATTGGCTGATTTATATCAAGATACATGTCGTGCGTGCCTTCTTCTGATTGGTACTTCCAGATCCAAAGTTGTTCTTCCACATCGCTTTATAAATATAATAATAACCCAAGAAAAAAAGTCCAAGAAAAAAGGTTGCAACATATTAATAATTTAAAAAGTTATAACATATACAATAATATATACATATTTTAATATAAAAATGAAGAATATGTTATATTTATATATATTTAAAATTATTATTAAGAATAGTTATGTTACATAAAAATATCAGGAAGTTTTATAATAATAAAAATAAAAAGTTCATAAATATACAGTATAAGGAATTAATAATAGACATATAATATCACTATTTTATATAATAAATAAATATTTATAAAAAGAAAAAAATATAAATATACAAAATTATATATTAGATACTTTAGTAAAGTTTTTAAAGATAAAAAATATTTAATAACACAACTTTTACTAGCAATTTATATATAAAAGTATACGTTTATATATTAAATAATAATTATTATATTTAAAAATAACAATAATAAGTAAATTCTAAGTTTTCCTGTTATGAAGTTCAAAGTTATTATAAATAAATAATAAATAATAAATAAAAGTTTTATTATTATTGATATTAACATTATAAAAGTGTAATAAAAAACTTAACTACTTGCTATTTTTTTAAGTTATTAAAATTTTTATATATCTTATTATTAATAAGTAAACAAATAGCTTCTTTTGTTATATAAAATATAGGTTATATATATTTAATATTTTGTACAAAATAATAAGTTTAGAAGCTCTTAATTATAATATACAATAATATAATAAAATTTTTTATATGAAATTCTTACAATATTATTATAAAAAAATTAATTTATTATGTAAAAAAAAAGTTTCGGAGTAAATATATCATAATTAATTTGGTCGCTTATTAGAATTATTTTATAACATTTGTTTACTATTAAACCATTTATATTATTTTTACTATTAAATAAAAAAAAAATTGATAAATTAAATTTTTAAAACTTCTTTTGTATGTAAATTCAGAAAATAAAGTTGTAATAATTGTTTACTAATTATATCAAACGATTTGTTTTATTCTTAATTGGAAAATTATAGAGCTTTATTACTAATTTCAATATTATTGGATATAAAATTAATTTTATATTTTTAATTATTAAACTTTTTTAAAAACAATTTTTTTTTTAAAAAAATTATTATTATATAAAAGTTAAATTATTTTTTAATTCCAATATTAAAACATTTATTGGTGGGTTCATCAGAGTTTTATTGGCCTGTTAATAAATAAAGCATTACAACTGCGCTGGTTTTTGTAAACAATCAGCTGGAATTAAAATGTCGTCGAAAAATCCAAGGGTGACTAAAAAAACAGAAATCAGAAATTAAAGAGAGCAGTGATTAAAAGAATTAAATTTAAAAAATTATTAAACAATAGACTTGATTAATTATATATAAATAAGTTTAAGAATAATTTAAAAATAAATTTTCAAAAAATGTAAAGTTCATATGCACGCAGAAGTTTAAAATTAGTTACTATATCAAATAATTTAAATAGTTTAATTCACCAAAATAGAAATTTTTTTAAAATAAAATATTGAATAAAGTTATCAACGTTTTAAATAAGCGTTACGCAAATTGTAAAAGCCAATAACAAAACCTTAATATATTATAATTTGTGTAAAATTAATCAAATTAAAAATAAGAAAAAGGGAAATTCTATAAAAAAATATTATTTAATTCTTATAAACAATTAACCTTGTACGCCCTCACTATTACACATACGAACTTTACCAACGAGAACTTCGTTTATAAAAGGACGAAAAACAAGCATTCTAAAATTTACTAACGCAAAAGTTATAAAAAAAATATTAATAGTAAAATAGATTTTAAAAAAAGTTAAAACCTTTAGAAAAAAATTCTGCATATCCTCTATGTAAGTACTGCTCTTCTACATCGACGATGTTAAATACAGCAATGCACAAACCTAACTTTGGCACAATCTTAAAAAATATATAAATATTAATTGGCTATAGAGAGATGACAAAAAAAAGTAACTAAAAAAAAATAGAAATATTTGCAGTAATTTTTAAAAATTAACTTTATATAAATATATTAACAAATATTAAAAAAATATAGTTGTATATAAAAAAGGGTGTAGTTGTTTTAATGAAATTGTCAGTCAACAATTAAAATATATAAAAAACATTCATAAAAAGTAATTTTTAGAAGAAAAAAAAATTCATTAATAACTAGTTTTGTAAAAGAAGTTATTAGTTACTTTGTTAGAATATTTTTTATTTATTTGTCTAGTAATGTTTTCAACTAACGAGAGATGCCATAGTTCTGGTAGCACTCGAACGGTGTCTCTAAGTAGAGCCAGGATGAACATACTTACCTCTTTATGGCATTTCCCACTTTTATTATTAAGTTTTATATACAAAAATTAACGCTAATAAAAATGTATTTCGTTTTTTTCTTAAAATAAAAACATGGCCACAAGAAAAACGTGCCTGTAAACTAAACCCTCTCTGGTTAGCAATACGCTCTGCCCTCTAAAGAGTTCCAAGGGTCCATGCTACTGCGTGGCCAATAATAAAAAATTTTTACATTCTGATAATCATGGCTATAAATCTCGTTGTCACATAGTTAAGCTACATAGAATTTTCGTGTTATATTCTAAAATTACTTATTCATATATTACAAGTAGCAATTTTTTTAATACAAAAAATATCTTTTTATTAAAATATGAGTCAAAGAGTTCAAGGTAACAATTAATGGTTGTGACTTGTGCTTATTAACTCTTTAAGATCTTTGCTAATAATAAACAAAAAGTTATATGCTCTTTTTGCTACTTCTTCGACATCTAAAAATTTTTTCTAAATTAAGCTATGTTTTTCAAAAAATTGTTTTTTCCTTTAGTACTAACTCAATTAAACTTTAACCTTGTACTAGAAATTTAACACATTCAAAATTGAATTAACTTTGTATAGACAGAGAGCCTTAGCGCAAATAAAAAACATATATAAAAAGGCCGAGGAAGACCAGCAAGAGAATCTATATAAGTAAAAAAAACCTACCTCTGTTTTTACGTAATAACCTCTAGTTAGTGAATACTACGCAGAAGGCGTAGAAGCATAAACACGGAGTATGTAAAAAAAATATTTTTAATTTTACTCTTATAGCCCTAACTAATCATTTCTTAGTACCTAATTTGGCCAGCACGAGGTCTTTAATCGTCAGAATGGTTTTATAGCAAACTTCCCACCCGGTGGGAGAATTTAAGGTTCTTGACTGCTTTAACTCTCAATTGTTCTTTATTGTATAATATTTCTACTCATGTATTCTCTTATCGTTAAATTTTAGTCATAGTTTGCCTAATTATTATCAAGTTTTTGAATTTACTCTAATTTCTGTTAATTTTGCGCCTTGTAACTCCAAAAAACGTTATAATTATTATAAAAGTTATAACATTTACCGCTCTCGTTATTTTCATATATTATAAATTTTCCGCCGCTCAAGTTGTTTTGTTCATTTATTATAACCAGTAGAGCATCTACTATATTGTTTTGTCTGTGATAAAGTTTTGCCTAGTTTTTATCTGAAATTTTTTTTTAATGATTTCCTGGTTAGTTGATAGGGTATGTGGTGCCTTAAATCTTTAATAATTATAATTAAGGGCGGGGGGTTGATAAAATACATTTAAATCAAGTGAAAGTGAATAAAACTTTTATAAAAGTGAGCTAAAGGCCACAATATTATTTAAAGACGGGCTGCAATAAGGAAAGCAAGCCGTCATGCTTTTGGTAGTTGACCTTGAAAAATACTTTTTAACCGATTTTTTTAAGAGGCTTTTTTTTCACATATAAACAATAAAAAAAAAATTGAAATTTACTTAAAAGGAAAAATTATTATATCTATAATAAGGAGAAGGCAACTAAACATGCGACCATGATTTAATACTACAAGGTGAACACAGTCAAATACATTCCAGCCATAGGTTGATAATTTAAATTATTTCACCTGCGTATAGAAGAGGGCTACTCAGGGGCTAACTGTGGTATATACATATAAAATGACCCGAGTACGATTTTAATTTTTTTTTTCTAATTTGTATTGGGTGTGTTAAGCCCTCCCGAGGTCTTTAAATTTATCAATAAAACTATTACCCTGTTGAATATTTAATAACTTTATATTATAATATCTTATATTTCTAATATACATTTTACTTTATCATATAACAAATAGTTATTAAGTATACCCGTCAAAGATTTAATAAGTAAAGCCAACACCTGTGAAATAAATAAACTAGCGCTTAAAACATGTCACGTGGGCGCTGATAAGGTGCTTCGTCTCATAGCTCGTGCATTAATAGGCTGTTAGTGTGCCAGACTGGCTGGTCATAAAAGGCAATGGCATTGCGTCGGACAGACGGCGTTCAGTGGGCCTGGTGGGAGGCCCTTTTAATGTGCTTCCTTTCGTATATTTTAAGGCGCTTTTGTCATCACGTGCAGCAACGTGTTTTGTCGCACTTGGAGTGCGGACGCTATTGCCTAGGAATTGGAGGTTCACGCAGTAATGTGTATACCATTAATGGTTGAATGCAAGACACAGGCAACCGCCTTTTTTTCATAATGAAAGCTCGTTCTTGTGGCATAGTAAAAATTAAAATGCCTTGGTCGCTGCCTTAACCTCCGCCACTGTATAGACTATGTGCTGCCGTTACGAATATATGCGTTAACGATGACGCCCAGGTATTTTGCTTGAGAGAACTATGAGGATTTTTTTACCATCAACGGTTAAGGGCGCCACCGAGGAAACGCGTTTTTCTTCGCTAAGGAATGCTTTGCCCTTGGTCGCATTTATAGCAACTTACCCTTTAGAACACCAGAAGGCAAAAGGGTTAAGATAGCGGTACAGAAAATGGCATAGCAGGACGGGCAGCTCCGACGACGAATAAGGGCTATATTATCGGCGTATAGAGCAACACACGGGCGGGCACGTCGCGATGTAAATGCGCGGTATAATAAGTAAACCAAAAACGATAAATAAAAAGCAAGAAACGGGGAGATCCCTTTATCCTTTGATTACCGTTAATCTTTCTTTTTTCCTTTTTTCTTTTAAGAATATTACTGGTCCTCTTAATAGGGTAATAGCGCACCCGACTTAAGGCGTAGCAGCATGTTTTGTCTCACTTGAAGCGAAGAGACTATTGCCGGCCAGGCAGTAGACGAATATGTCATGATCAGTCGAATGCACAACCAATACAACCATCGTTTGTTGTGCAGCGAGGGTTTACTTCAGACACAAAGTAAAGGGTAAAAATTTTGAACAGCCGTCTTGACCTGCGATATAGTTTACGTGCGGCCGCCACGAGAGCCCCAAGGTATTTCGCCTGAGGGCACCAAGGAATTACCTTATTTTTAAAGGTCACCAGCGGTAGTGGTGTAGTGTATCAAATTTGATAAAAATGTATATAAAAAAAAGTATTTAAAAGCAAGGAGTACTTTATTGACCAATTTCGTACTTTATTTACACCTTCACAAAAGGCCGAAATATGATTCCATACCAATAAGTTTAATTGAACCCGATAAAATTTTACTTTGTTTATTTTTGTATCCAATTAATAAGACAGGTCAAATAAAAATTTTTTATGTGTTGATATACTTCTCTTTTCTTGTGTTTTTATTGGTGATTTCTCAGGTTTCTGATTGGATTAATTACGGATTATTTCCCTATGAAAACTTAGAGGGTTAGTGTTCTGTGTTTTTCTGTTTGGTGTTTGTATTTTTGTTTATTTATGTGTTTTATAGTTGCGTACTTTATACTTAATGTATTATACAATATGTTTTTGTAATCTATGTTTTTTTTTGGTTTTTCTATTTGTAATTGTGTTTATGTATCTTGTGTTTTAGATGTTGTGTATACTGTAATATTTAGTAATGCGCTTCTTTGTGACAAAGAGGGCTTTGCTTTGCTGATAATTAGTAATTTTCCAATATATACTTAACAAAAATAAACAAAGAATAACATTGCAAAATTTCAAATTTAACCCATCACTAAGTCATCCTTGTATTTATGTTTTAAATACTATTTCAATAAAGTAAATTTTGTAGATATAAATATAATTAGTTGGTGAAAGATTAATTTGTTGTAACTGCTATTACAGCAGGGCAGAGAGATAAAATTTCTGAGGGACTCTTGCTCTCAGTGATCGCAACGACGATAGTGTACCCTCCCACGCACACCCTGAAGTCGCGACCGTTAAATATGATTTCAGCACCCCATAAAGATCGCGAGGGACGATAAAACAAGCGCAGCTGTTGCAGCATATTTTTTATGCTAAACTGGTCGAAGGCCTTCTCAGTGTCAAAGGTTGCCTTATTAAAGTTAAAAACGCGAGTAACCACCATATTTAGAAGGAAGGAAATCATGCGTTGCCTCAGGATTTTACATACTTGCTACACAAAGCGTTCTCAAGTCAACAATTGTATATTATAAGCAATCAAAAAGAAATTATATTTCAGGGGATATCATATGAAATATTATCTATTTTTTGTATATATTTTGTAATTTATTAATTTATTTGATGCCATGTATTCTACTCCACAAGATAATTTAGTTAGTGCGCTTAAAAATTATTTTTAGGTGCGATAAACTTGTCTTGATCTTCACATAAAAATTTATATATATTGATTTAAGTACCTAAGTACTTTTTACACTTTCTATTAACTAACGTAGTTATTTTCAGTCCTTGGAAACAAATGTATTAAAGCATTTATTAATATCTTAAGAAAAGGTGTCAACTTACTATCCTTGAAGAGGTTATCGTAATATTTGACTTATCAATTAAGGAAGAAGGTTCAAAGCAGTGCAAACCCCACTTAAATTTATGTTAAACTATTTTACATAACTATCAAAGTATAAGTAATTCTATACTACTGAACAAGAGTTGTGTGTGAGCTAACCAACTTAAGCTCTGTCCCCAGAAAAGAACCATGTTTATATTCTTCACGTGTCATTCAAAACGAAACCTATTTTCTCCTAGGTCTTATTGCTTCTTCTGCACTTGTATTTTGGGCTGAGAGAGTTTTCTTCTATTGTAAACTTATGAGGAATTTAGAGGCTAAATAGCTGAAGTTTTACTATTGAGATGAGATTCAAATTACAAGTGCGAAAAGGTGATAAAACGGTTCACTGTTGGCATGCCGTGGATCCTAATGTTTGTGATACAGTTGGTAAAGTCGCCGAAAATATTGCAACTTGCTATGGCTTATCTAGCGAAACTCTGGCTTTGTCAATGGAAGATTACTTGCTTCCAGATTTTCACTCAACTCTTCAATTACTTCGGG